GGGAAGAGGTAACTATGGGGTGGAAGTGGGAGGGGAGCTGTTGCATTGTGGTAAACTGTGGTCAATGACATGAGACAAAGTATATGTGAACTCCTGTATGGAAAGTGAATTTGCTCTGTAAATCTTCACCCAAATCACAATTAAATATATATATATATTTGGAGATAGAAATCCCATTGTCTTTTACTTCTTATTTAAAACTGGAAAGGGAGCAATTTGGTACCCACCCACCACCCTCTAATGGAAGAGCAAAGAGCTAAAGAACTAATTTGTTTAAGATAACTTGAAATAGGGGTCATTCTGACAATAGAAATGAGAGACGAACAAGTGTGGCTGAGATGGGCCATGGGGTTGGGGGTCCCACCTGCACAGAAGGCTCGGATATTTTCATCCACTTGGAAGCGGACCACAGTGCGGTTGTGATCAATAATGTAAGTCTGTCCATCCCAGGCACATGCAACTACCTCCTCATGTCCGTTGCCCTGAAAAAGGCCAGAGTCAGGAATTCAGGAGTAGCAAGGAGCTGTTTTAGAAAGGATCTAATGATGGGGCTAGACGAAACACAAAGCGCCATGGGCTGGACCCTGAGAGACAAACAGTGAGCTAGGAAAGAAAACGACCATTCATCAAACATCTCCCATGTGCCAGGCACCAAATGGGGCTGCCAAATGAGCCGCCTTACATAATGGTCACAAAACTCTATGAAGTAGGCAACATATTCCCAACTTTACACTCAGGAAACTGTAGCTTATAGAACTAATCACCTGCCTGAGGTCACTCAGCTAGGAAGTAACAGAATCAGGACGCAAACCCATGTCTGTTTTACCTGACTTCATAGCTAGAGCCCCTTCTCCTAAGTCAGCAAGTAGGCAAAACGGCAGTATGTTAAGGTATAATCCCATTTGCCAATTCTGGGACCAAAGTCGTACTAAAGAAAGACTCACAAACCAAATGAGATCAAAAGGGCAACATTTGCCCCAGGGATAAAGCCCAGAAGGCAGGAAGGGATAGGAAAGAAGGAAGAATAGAAATGGGAAACACAGGGAGGAAGTGGGAAGAGTGCTGTTTACATCGTGGGGATTACAATCAATGTCATGAAACAAAATGTGTATGAATTGTTGAGTGAAAAACCAATTTGCTCTATAAACTTTCACTCAAATTGCAATAAAAAGTTTAAAGAAAAAAAAAGAGGAAGGCTCATATATGGGAAAGTAAAACTATAAAACATAGATCTGGAATTGGTACTAATAACTCACTTAAAATAATCTGTTTCTCTTTGGGGCCATTACTTCTGCTGAAAGTTATTGAAATGATAGCTTTTCCATCAGTACAGTGTTACTTGGTGCCACTGAGTCAGTTCCGACTCACAGTGAGCCCATCTGACAGAGCAGAACTGCCCCATACAGTTTTCTTAGCCATGATCTTTATGGAAACAAATCACTAGGTCATTCTCCTGCAGTGCCAACTGGGCAGGTTCAAATTGCCAGTCTTCTGGTTAGCAGCTAAGCACTTAACCATTGTGCTACCAGGGGTCCTTATCAGTACAGTATAGTATTAAATAATGTGGTATAAGGGGAAACAAACCCACTATAGATTAATTTGTTGTTGTTTGGTGCCATCATGTCAGTTTCCACTCATAGTGAACCTATGAACAACAGAATGAAAACACTACTCAGTCCTGCGCCATTGAGATCATTGTTGCAGCCACTGGGTCACTCCATCTGTGGAAGGTCTTCCTCTTTTTCACTGACACTCTACTTTACCAAGCATGATGTCCTTATCCAGGTACTGGTCCTTTCTGATAACATGTCCAAGGTATGTGAAATGAAGTTGCGCCATCCTTGCTTCTAAGGAGCATTCAGATTACACTTCTTCCTCTACAGATTTGCTTGTTCTTCTGGCAGCTCATGGTATATTCAATATTCCTCACCAACATCATAATTCAAATGTATCCAAGAGGTTTGGTCTTCCTTATTCATTGTGCAGCTTTCACATGCATATGAGGTGACTGAAAATACCATGGCTTGGGTCAGGCTCACCTTACTCCTCAGAGTGACACCTTTGCTTTTTAACACTTTCAAAAGGTGTTTTGCAATAGATTTGCCCAATGCAACTCATTGGGTTCCTGCCTGGTGCCCTCCTCTCCACACAAATTGAAAGATTTCACACAGAATTTGATTTCTTGACTGCTACTTCCATGGGTTTTCATTGTAGTAAAATGAAATCCTTGATAATTTTAGTATTTTCTCCATTTATTTTGATGTTCCTTATTGCTCCAGGTGTGAGGACTTCTCTTTTCTTTATGTTAAAGTATAATCCATACTGAAGACTATAGTAAGTATTTCAAGTCTCTTCACTTTCAGCAAGCAAGGCTGTGTCATCTGCATATCTCAGGTTGTTAGTGAATCTTCCTCCAAATCTGAAGCCAAATTCTTCATATAGTCCAGCTTCTCAGATTATCTGCTCAGCATACAGATTACATAAGTATGGTGAAAGAATACAATTCTGACATACACCTTCCTGATTTTAAACCATGCAGTATCCCCTTGTTCTGTCTGAACAATGCCTCTTGGTCTATGTATAGGTTCTGCATGAGCACAAGTAAGTGTTTAGGAATTCCCAGTCTTCCCAATGTTATCCACATTTGTTATGATCCACACACTTGAATGCATTTGCATAGTCAATAAAACACAGGTAAACATCATTCTGTTATTCTTTGCTCTCAGCCAAGAGCCATTTGATAAACAGTAATATCCCTCATTTCATGTTCTCTTCTGAATCCAGCTTGAATTTCTGGCAGTTCCCTGTTGATGTACTGCTGCAACCATTTTTGAATTATCTTCAGCATAAGTTTACTTGTATGTGATATTAATGATATTAATAATTTTGACATTATATTGGATCACTTTTCCTTGGAATAGGCATGAATATGGATCTCTTCCAGTCAGTTAGCCAGGTAGCTGTCTTCCAAATTTCTTGGATGAGGGAGTGCTTCCAGCGTCTGTTGAAATATCTCAACTGGTGTTTGATCAATTCCTGGAGGTTTGTTTTTTGCCACTGCCTTTGGTGCAGCTTGTACTTCTTCCTTCTGTACCATCAGTTCTGATCATATGCTACCTTCTGAAATGGATGAACACTGGTCAGTTCTTTTTGGTACAATGACTCTGTATATTCCTTCCATCTTCTTTTTTTTTTTTTTTTTT